TAAAGTAAAAATAAAAATAAATAAATGTTAAAAAGGGGTCGGGGAAATGGCTCAGTAGAATAAACGTCCCTAGTTGGCTGGCAAGGGTCTGAGTTCAATCCCCAGTTCTGCAAAAAAAAAAAAAGACAAAAAAATAGGGTGGCACACACCTGTATCCCTAGCACTGAGGAGGCTGAGATAGGAGGGTCACTATGAGTCTGAGCTGTATAGCTCAACCCTATACCTAATTAATTAATTAATTAATTAATTAAAAAAACAGTTCTCTGAGGGCTTGGGCTATGTTTTCTTCATCTCTAGCCCCTAGGATCTCTCTGGCACACAGTAATGATATTTGTAAATGGTTTGGCCATATATAAAATTTATAACGATATGAAAGATGTCATTGCTGTGTCAACAGTGATCTTTCAGGAACCTAGAAAAGGTCGGTGTTAATGTCTTCTCTCAGACATGTGAGCCCAGGTGTGTTTTGGTTTTTTTTTTTAATCTTTTTTATTTGGTACAGGGTCTTACTATAGTGATCCTCCTCTCTCAGCCTCCTCTGCACTGGGATTACATGTGTGCCACCATGCCTGGTTTTGGTGGCCAGGGGGTTCTGGGGATTGAACCCAGGTCCTTGCACTTGCCAGGCAGGTGCTTAGGCCACTGAGCTACCTCCCCAGCGTCTTGAGCCAAGCTTTTTAATTGCAGCTAAACACAACAGATTATGCGATTATTCTTAACAATAGTAGTTGAGATTCATTTAAAAACCTCCAGTGGTACAGGAAGTGTGTGCTTAGCACATCTGAAGTAGTGATCTTAAAAGTCTATCTACACTTACTAGTGTGTGACCTTGGTATGTTAATTGACTTTCCAGTTCCTCATCTATAAACTGGGTCATAAAGTACCTCCCTCACAGAGCAGTTGGAAGAATTAATTAAGTTAATAGTGTCCACGTAGGGCTGGCTAAGTAGCTCAGCAGATTAAAGCGCCCATAAGCAGGCACAGGGGCCAGGGGTTTGATCCCCGGGCCTGCCATGCCCGCCCGATCACTGGGGCATACTCAGATTGCAATTGAGAGTGGGCGTGGTGGTG